TGGTTTTCTTCCCTAGATTCTATCTGCTGCTCTAGTTCCATAAGGTCTTCATTGGTTAGTTCTTTGCCATGGAAGTCAAGTAACTCTATGATATCATTTTCAGTGATGTCCAACTGCAGTTTATTACCAATAGCAACCACAGTTTGCCTGGTTTCGGCGATTTCATCATCTGTAAACCCTAGAAATTCTTGTGTGAATTGGGGGCACAATTTGTTCCAAACTCCTCTCATATTTGTCTCTTTCACTTCATCCCAAGCATCAGCAATATTGTTGATGGCATCATAAATGTTATAACTTTTCCAGAAATCCCTTAAGGTCATCTCATCCTTTTGGGTAGCCCTGACAGCTTGTGAGAATGTCCTCCTTAAATAATAGGCCTTAAAGGAGGCTATGACTCCCTGATCCATTGGCTGAATTAGTGATGTGGTGTTGGGGGGTAGAAATACCACCTTTACATTGGGGTGCATGTCATCTAAAGTGTTTGGATGTCCAGGGGCATTGTCAAGGAGAAGGAGAATTTTGAAAGGAATGTTTTTGCCCAAGCAATAACGTTCAACAGCAGGGACAAAATGGTTCGAAAACCATTCTTCAAATATAGCAAGTGTAATCCAAGCCTTTGAATTTGCCCTCCAAATAACAGGAAGAGATGCCTTAGTGACATTGCGTAGTGCCCTCGGATTTAGGGAGCGATGCACTAGCAAAGGTTTCAGCTTTAAATCCCCAGATGCATTACCCCCAAGTAATAAAGTCAGCCTGTCCTTTGATGCCTTATGTCCTGGTGCACTTTTTTCCTCTTTCGAAATGTATGTCCTCTCAGGCATTTTTTTCCAAAACAAGCCAGTTTCGTCTACATTAAAGATTTGTTCTGGCAAATAGCCTCCATCGTCAATAATATCTTCCAATATCTTGGGAAAAGAACTTGCAGCACTGACATCGGCACTCGCTGCTTCACCTTGAACTTTAATATTATGCAAATTTGCTCTTTTTTTAAAGCGATTGAACCAACCCTTACTTGCAACAAATTCTTCATTGAAATCACCTTCACTTGCTGTATGAGTAGCTTTTAAATCATTGAAAAGGCTTCGAGCCTTTTCCTGCACTAAAGAAAGACTGATAGGTAGATTACGCTGATTTTGGTCTTCTATCCAAATTGTCAGCAGCCTTTCCATCTCGATAATTAAACCACTGCGTTGCTTGGTAATAATCGTAGCATTCATTGGGGTATGGCCTTTCACATGCTCCATTACTCTATCTTTATCTTTTAAAATTGTTGCGATTGTTGACCGACTGTAACCACATGCTCTGCCAATGGATGATGGTTTTTCACCTCTCTCTGATCTCTTTATTATTTCTACTTTTTCTTCCATGGTGATGGTTTTTCTTTTCTTTGCTGTCTCACCAGCACTTGCATCAGATTTGTGTTTTGGAGGCATTGTTGCAGGGTGCAAAAAACACTGTACACTATGTACACAGGTTCTGGTCAGCGGGATGCTGATTTGGCAGCCTGTTGCCGGGGGCAGCCAGGTTGCTGGGGGGAGGGAGGCAGCTTGTTAGTTGGGGGAGGAGGGCACCTTGTTGCTGGGGGAAGGAGGGCATGCAGGCTGCGAGGCCGCAGCAGGCATGGGGAGGCACTTTTCCTCCGCTGGCAGCTCTGCGGGACACCTTTCCCAGTGGCCAGTTACTGCTGCAGGCAGAAGCCAGAGCCGGAGGAGCCAGCCCGAGGAGGAGGAGGTGGATCCTAGGATCCAGGTGAGTGAGCCTCTGGGATGTATAGAGGGGGGGTGGAGAGGGAAGAAGGGGGGTGGATGGGGAAGAGGGGCTGAGGCTGGCCAGCGACCGGGGGGCAGGCTGCGAGACCGCGGCTGGCAGCGGACTTGGGGAGGCGCGTTTCCTCCGCTTTGCAGGACCCCATTCCCTACGGCCAGTTGCTGCTGCTGCACCTAGGCTCCACGTGTGAGCGAGCCCCGGCATGTATAGAGCGGTGGAGGGGGAAGAAGGGGGGTGGAGGGGGAAGACGGGCTGAGGCTGGCCGGCGACCGGGGAGCAGGCTGCGAGACCGCGGCTGGCAGCGGACTTGGGGAGGCGCGTTTCCTCCGCTTTGCAGGACCCCATTCCCTACGGCCAGTTGCTGCTGCTGCACCTAGGCTCCACGTGTGAGTGAGCCCCGGCATGTATAGAGCGGTGGAGGGGGAAGAAGGAGGGTGGAGGGGGAAGACGGGCTGAAGCTGGCCGGCGACCTGGGAGCAGGCTGCGAGACCGCGGCTGGCAGCGGACTTGGGGAGGCGCGTTTCCTCCGCTTTGCAGGACCCCATTCCCTACGGCCAGTTGCTGCTGCTGCACCTAGGCTCCACGTGTATAGAGCGGTGGAGGGGGAAGAAGGAGGGTGGAGGGGGAAGACGGGCTGAAGCTGGCCGGCGACCGGGGAGCAGGCTGCGAGACCGCGGCTGGCAGTGGACTTGGGGAGGCACGTTTCCTCCGCCCAGCAGCTCTGCGGGACCCCATTCCCTAGGCCAGCTGCTGCTGCAGGCGGAGACCAGTCAGAGCCGGAGGAGCCAGCCTATGGATCCCAGGATCCACGTGAGCGAGCCCCGGGGATGCTGCTGCGCATGTGCGGCAGTTGCCTCACCCCCGTTCGTATCTAGGGATCCGACGTAAGTCGGCTCCACGTAAGTCGGGGACTGCCTGTAGTTATCCCGGGCATGTCTAGAGGGGAGGAGGGGAAAGACGGGCTGAGGCTGGCCAGCAGCCGGGGCGGGCAGGCTGCGAGACCGCGGCGGGCAGCGGGCGTGGGAAGGCACTTTTCCTCCGCCCAGCAGCTCTGCGGGACCCCTTTCCCTGCGGCCAGCTGCTGCTGCAGGCGGAGGCCAGTCGGAGCCGGCCCGAGGAGGAGGAGGAGGAGGAGGAGGTGGATCCCAGGATCCAGGTGAGCGAGCCCCGGGGATGCTGCTGCGCATGTGCAGCAGTTGCCTCACCCCGTTCGTATCTAGGGATCCGACGTAAGTCGGATCCACGTAAGTCGGGGACTGCCTGTACTTGGGTGGTGGCAGCAGATATTCCCCAAAATCTAGGTATTAGGATTTTTGGGGGAAATTTTTGTACCAAAGCCTGTAGAGACAAGGTTTTGGGGTGCTCTTGCAGGCCCCCACTCCTTCATTTGTCATGTCAAAGTGGGGGACAGCCTTGACAACACATACAATTGTGTTCAAGATGTATTTGTCTTGGTATTCACTGTTTATCTCAAAAACATCAAGTCAGTGCAATGAAAGTTTTAAAAACATCCAAAAAAGGGAACTTCTATTTGTGAAGACTGGTTCTATGTGCTCAGCCCTTTGAAAATTGAACCTGCAACATCTGAAGAACATACTCAGTTCACTAAGAAGAAAGAGAAGAATGATTTCCTTAATGTCAATGGTTTTTGCTTGCTGTCCAGGAGAAAATATTTCGTCCAGCAACAGAGGAATGCCTATGGACTTTTTGAGGGGAGGAGGAAATGAAAATCTAGTTCATTCTGGTTTTAACCAGTGGGAAAAAAAAATAACAAATCTCTTAAAACGAAGACACAAAGTTTAATCAGTTCATGGATCAATGATGTCCAAATATGTGCGCACATTTCAGATGGACTCTGCCCTGTCTGGGATTTTCAGATCTAGTACTGAACAGCCCTGAGGCAGATATATATTAGTTAGAAAAAGAAGTTTGCAGAAGGGAAACTGTGTCTGTTCCTGATTTGCCAATCCAAAAAACAAACAAAAAAGCTCCCAAAGGGTACAAAACCTGATACAGTTGTTGCTGGATCATTTTCATGGGTAAGTTCCTTTTAAAAACTAGATTCTTTGTGTACCATTAAGGTCCTGGAGAAACATGCAATTCAAACTGCCCATTGGAACAAAGGTTGTAGAAAATGGGGTATGAAAAATGCTGCTGAATTGGAAACAAAACACAGACATTTTGTGTTTAAAACCATCTCTCAAAAATGGTGAACCCAATAGAGAAATAGTCTTTTTCTCTCTGATTTTTAGCAGCTTCATTTCAATGGCACTTATTCATTTAAACTTGGATATTCCTGACTCTACAGCCTGTTCCCAGAAATCATTAATTCTATTATTTTTAATGTTGTACATGGAGTAGATTCTTAATATAAAAAGCAAAGGCAAACTAGGCAATAACGGAGGGAAAATATCATTCTCTGCAATCTTTTAAAAATGACTTTAAAAAAATGATGTTATCAGAATTTGATCTCCATGCTGCAGAACGGTCCATTTTCTGGGAACAATAGGTTAATAATAGTTAGATTCATAATGGATCTTTTGCAAACGGATTTACTGTGATAATGTGTGCAGTCATGGAAACTGAGCATGAAAATATAGTGCATCAATGCCCACATATTTTTGCATCTGCATCTGCACCCACAGATTTCTGAAAGTCAGGCCTTAAAATGTCTTTTGTTGATGATTTTCTTTGTATAATGATGGTTAATACATTTGTAAAAGCTTCTCTCAGATACGCTGGTTTTCATTCAAAACATTCTAATAGTTCTACAATTCAAAATAGCTTACACCTCCCTACGGCAGTTTATGCAGTTCAATTACATTATGGAGCTGCAGAGAAGTGTTATAGCTACATTATCCGGAGGGCCTACTTCATATTGGTGTGACCTGTCTTCACTTTTTAATGATCAGAAATTGACTGAAAGGACAATTGCCATAGGCTAATGGTACATCTCCACTGGGCAGTCAAAGCTGCCCCGACTGAAGAAACCAGAACATAACAATTCCAACCTGTAATTACACTCGAATAGGGTTGTAGAGTTTTCATAGCAGCTGCTCTCAAATCCTATTTTTTTTGACGATTTTCTAGGGTTACTTAAATCTACCCAAACATTTCATTCCTTTTAGCAGAAGTTGATTGCATCATATGGCAAATGCTGGGAATCTTGACTACCTTTGGACAGCATGGGCTGTCTATATCATGCATAGCATGAATCTGTCTCTGATAACCATTTTATGAGTCATCTTGAGAAATTTAATCTGGCAGTACACACTCAGCAGTTTGCTGATGAGTTTCTCTCAATGCAGTAGATTCCCTGAGTGGACAGCATGGTACTAACAGCCTAAACATCAGCCTACCATAGAGCTCCCATTGTGTACACAGAAATATTTCAGGCAGGTTTACAAGTTGCCAAGAAAGTAAACATCTGAAGCAACACAGAGTGCTCAAAATGGCGTGTGTTGGTAGCAAGGGGCCAGTCTGTAAGAAAACCTTTCAAGCATTTCAAGCATTAGTCCAGGCCGGTCGGCTTAAGAGGTAATGACATCCAGCTATGCAAAATGCGTAGCTGGATTCGGCTTACCTTAAGCCAAGCTGCTGCAGCGTCTACACTGCGGGAGGCCGATGGGAGTACATTGGCTTCCCGTACTCCCCACAGAATAAAGAGTACAACTAGTGGGCATTGCCCTCAGTGTTCAATTTGGGGGTCTACATTAGGCCCGCTAAATCAAATGCTAGAAGATCGACCTCTGGAGGGTGTATCTTCTAGTGTAGACAAGCCCTCAGAACGCTGGATGGTACAGGCCACTGAGAAGGGTTGGCAGATTGCAATGTATGAATTCTCAGCTGCACAGCGAGGCAGGAAAACAGGCTGAATAATTACAACGCAGAAATGCTGACAGCGAGCGGCTGTTTGAACTTGGTGGCTTGGTATAGTCTGAATCTTGCTTCTTCTTCATGGGTGCAAGAGACTCCAGAAGAGATAATGGGACTTGTGCAGTTCCTACGTACTTCAAGGCTGGATAATAGGATTGAGAAAGCTTGGTTCAAAGGGCCAGATATGGACCAGATCTCCACAGCTGGGGATTTCTCTCGTGTTGGGGAATCCTTGGATGGGGTAAAACCAGGCAGAGGATTTCTATGCCGGCCTTTGCTGCTGTCATCAGGGAGGCTGTGTGGTTAGCATTACCGTGTGGGGAAGGCACATTCATGCGATGCAGTTCTTGGCTAGTGGAGAGCTAGGCATATTTCACAGCAGCCTGCTACCATGTTCCCCCTGCAGGTAGGTGTAGTGAGCAGAACGGAGAACAGAGGCTTTCTGGGAGTTTACCTGCCTCTTGCGAGAACTCCGATTCCAACACCGAAGTCTGATGGTTGTATCAGACTAGACAGAATTAGCGCTTGGTGATCAAAAAAGCCAGAGGTTCAGTGAATCATCTGAATTGCTGGATGGGTTGAATCCATAACAAGACTTGACGCTTCTATTGTACCTCTAATGGCTTGTCGACACTAAGAGAGATGCCCGAATCGACTACAATCGAGCCCCGGGCACCCAATGTTGAGAAGTTGAGGGGATATGTCCTCACTACAGGCAAGATTCGAATGCTCTCCAAGGTAGCGGTCCATATCCATGAAGCCTGCCTCAAGTCAGAGAGCAAAGAAGCACCCGGGGAGGGAGACAGGCTGGTCGAGGCTTCCAATGTCCGCTGGGTTAAAAAATCATCAGTGGATGCTTACGGGAACTCCACTGACCCGTGTCCCACAAGGCATTCCTCTACTCCCTTCCCCCCATGCGGATGGAGTGAGCACGCACCTGGTCATACTCTGGTTGACTGTGCACACACCATAGCACTACAACCATGGAGCCAGAGCTGCTGCAAACCATTGCCATGCTCATGGCTCTTGTGCGGCATCGCATTGCACAGCACTTCTGCAGTGTCTCATTGTTGCACCACCAGGACGAGGAGGATGAGGAAGAGCACGACGAACCTCGGCATGGCCCTGCTCAGCCACGTCTTGGCATTTATGCTACTGTGCCTACTATTAAATCTCTGGGACAAAGTGCAACGTTGCTTCTGGTGGCAGGAGACAAGCTTGGACTGGTGGGACAGCACTGCCATTCAGGGATGGGACGACCAGCAGTGGCTGCACAACTTCCACATGCGCAAGGCCACCTCCCTCAGATACTTCGTGGGAAGCTGACAATCTCTTCGCGTACAACAAAGGTCTCTGTTCATACAACGGTGCTGTGTTTTGTGCAAAGCTACATTTTGGACTTACAGGGGGCAGTTTGCAGCAGGTGCCTAAACGTCCTGGGGAGCAGTGGAACACACTTGCTCCATAGGCAGGCAATCATGGTAAGGTGCCTGGCAGGCCAGGAGCCTGTGGGCAAGAGGGGGCTGGCGGCAGAGGGTGGCTTCCTGCTGTGTCCAACACACGTGGCTTCTTGGGACAGTACAACTTTCCTGGCCAGGCTAGGAGTTTGTAGGCAGGGGTCGTGTGTGAGAGCAGCACATGCCGCTTGCCGGAGAGAGTGCTAATAGGTTCCCCTCATCCTCCTCCTCCCAGCACATTTGCATGAAAGATATCAGTCTTCTCTGCATCACCCTGCTTGACCAGGAGCAAATGCTTATTGATTGTGGCATTGAACTTGGGCCATATGCTGCACTGCTGTGAGATTCCAAGACCGCAGACTATCTACTGGTGGCTTGGCATAGGAAGGTGTCCTACCATGGAGGATGGTGTAAAGCAGGCCTCCCCGGAAACTTTGTGAGAAGGATCAAGGGGCTCCTGTGTGAAAGCTTCATGGAGCTGAGTAGTCATGACTGAGGCTCCATCAGGAGACACGTGAACAAACTGTTTTGGGCCCCAGCGCTGAGTAGTCCAAGAAAGAGCGCGCACTGCCCCTCTCAGCTGCTTCTGTCCCCTCCTACTTCCCTTGTTAGAAATTCTTTGTTTCCAGGTCTTCTCATATGTCCTCTTGTGATGGGGGCAGTCTGTGAAGCCAGCTGAAGACCCTCATCATTTGGTTCCCATCCTTTAAATAGAATTTCTCCAGGTTGGCAACCCTTTATTCAATCCTCAAGATGGAGCTCAGAACCTGGTGGGACCACCCACAGTTTAGGATTACAGGAAAAACAAAACTATTCACATCGTCTGTACCAGTTCCTAATGGAACTTAGTTCCTAATGGCTTTCACTGGAAGACCAAGATTAATAACCAGGCTTACACGTTATATTTCTAACTTCCCAGTTACGTACATGCACACAAATAGAATATACACATTCAGCAGATTAAAAGCTTTTCAATGAGAGGTTACATGCCACATTTTATGTAAAGCATATTCGAGTTATGCTTGTTCATATTAAAAACACATTTCCATAAAAATACTGAGGCATCGTATCATGTCCTATTGTTATTCCTCAAGTTCTCTAGTACAAGAACTGGTTTTCTTTTCAATACTACTCTGATGGGCTTATTATACCATAGTACCTGTACTAGCCATAATCTACAATAAATCCCTTCACATCATCACAAATAATTAATTTATTGTTAATGTTTCTTCCTTTACAGGCAATATGAACATTGAAGAATATTTAGCAAGGATTGGATACAAAGGCTCCCATGAAAAACATGAATTGGAAACCTTAACTGCAATCTTCCAGCACCACATCTGAGCCATTCCATTTGAAAATCTCAGCATCCACTGCGGAGAAACCATTACCTTGGATTTAGACCAGGTTTACAACAAAATAGTAAGCAAGAAGCGAGGTGGATGGTGCATGGAACAAAACCAGCTTTTATGCTGGGTGCTGAAAACCCTGGGATATGATACCACCATTTTAGGAGCACACATATACAACCCGCAACAAAACACCTATGCTTCTCACATGACCCACCTTCTGCTAAAGGTGGATATTGATAACAAAGCCTATATCCTAGATGGAGGATTTGGTGTATCCTATCAAATGTGGCAACCAATGGAACTCATTTCTGGGAAACACCAGCCTCAGACACCTGGAATCTTTCGCTTCACCGAGGACAATGGGACGTGGTACTTTGAGAAAATAAGAAGGAAACAATACATTCCTAACCAAAGCTACGCTAATTCTGACCTTCTGGAAAGAAGTGAGTACAGGAAAATTTACTTGTTCAGTCTTGAGCCACGAACAATAGAAGATTTTCAGTTCCAATGTACATACCTTCAAACATTTCCAGATTCCTTGTTTGTAAAGAAGTCAATTTGCAGCTTGCAGACCACTGACGGGTTTCGAGCTTTGATTGGGTGGACACTCATTGAGACAACTTACAACTACAAGGACAACACAGACCTGATAGAATTTATGACTCTTAAAGATGAAGAGGTGGAGAAGACACTGGAAGATAAATTTAGCATAACATTAGAGAGAAAATTTGTCCCAATTAACCTCAAAGGATTCTATGTGATTTAGTGGAGTAGATAAAACACACCCTAATTCTATACTATTGCAGAATCTTCCACACTCTGTTTAATCCGATATTCAGTACATGAACTAAAACACTTAATGCCAGGTTAAAGTGAGAGCTTAAGTTCAGAACAACAGGCACTTCAGGGTCTCGTGTTGACTGGTTACCACTGAGAAAATGAAGCTCACGTACACTTTTGTGGGCACAAATTTAAAGACTGGTTTGAAGCTAGCTGAAGATTTTGGGCGGATATGTGGTCCATGGAAGAAGCATTTTCTAGTGGCTTAAGAACACAATTGGGAGAGGAGTACCAGGATCTCTATGCTCTGTGACCATTAGGAAAATCACATTGGCTCAAATTTCCAAACTCGGCAGCCAAAATAAGTAGTCTGATCTTCAGAAATGCCACGTGCTCAGCTCCATTTCTCCATGTGAAAAATGAGGATAATATATTTCCCCACCTCCTGAGGTTGTGAGGAAGTCTAATTCATTCATGTTTGTAGGGCACTTTAGAGTCCCCAGACCAAAGGTGCTATAAGTGCAAAATAGTATCCAATTTATCTCTGTGATTACTCAATGAACCACACAAGTGAATTATTTTTAGTCCATATTTTTCTGATGGTGCTTTTGTAGTGGTATTAATTCACATCCTGTAGAAAGGATGAATTTTAATGCGGCACCCAAACTTGTTTCTCCATTGTGCCCACTTCCATTCTATAAGGCCACAAATTGGAGTTCCTTCATGACACATACACCCGGGAATGTTATCAAGATGAAGAGCATAAAGAAAGCATCCAGTTGTATCATGCCTATTTAAAGAAATTCTTTGTTTAACTAATGAGTCCCCCTCTTCTCATTTCTGTTGTTTACCATTGAAGTTTCCTATTCTAAAAATGTTTCTCTCAGTCATGTTGCCATGTGAAAGACTGACAAAAACAGGAATATGGACTATGTGGGGAAGCAGCATCAAAAACAAGAAGTTAACAGAGAAGATAGGAGAAAAATAATTCTCCCTCCATCTTTTTTCCTGATGATAATCTAACCTGCTGCTTTTAAACAATAGCAGATGAAAGAAGAGACTCAAGACATTTTCTTTAGCCTCTTTGTTCTAACTGATGATTTTTGGCAAAAATCTCATAAAATGAAAACATTTATATCTATAAAAATAAATGAAAACAACAGTATATTTAAAGTCTTTGTAAGTATCAACGGTAATTAAGCTTGTATTCTAAATACTTATCTGATGTTTGTAGTGTTTCAAATAAAACTCTCTGCTTTCTCTTTAGCTAGGAGGAATGTTCATCTTTCTCCGCTCTGTAACAGACTCCTGCCTCCTTTATGCTGATAATGGCTGTTTCTCTCTCCTTATCTAGTTGGCTTCAATGCAGCCTTTGACATCCTGGTTATTCCAGCCTCCACAGGCATCTCCGTTTCCATTGCCACCAAATGGCTCTTTCTTCAACTCTTGCTTTCTACTAAAAGCCTGTTCCCTGTGGAGCTCCATGTGGATCAAGCCCCAACAGTCTCACCACCTGCACAGTCATTTATAACAACTCTCCCACAGAGATTTCCCCTCAAACATGAAAATTATTACCGGGGCCAGGTTACATGAAGCTCTGCTGAGTTACCATGCTAAGGATGTTTTTCCACCTGGCAAAACCTCTCAGAGCTGATAAACACTGTAGCTATTTATCTGTGAATAACTGTACCCCAAAGCTCCTGCACAGATTAAGTAGACCTGAGATAAGAATGGTATTAAATACAGAGGGATTATAGGAGGCACTGAACTGCAGCTACCAGGGAAGCCAACCAGCTGCACAGACCCCCGGGCAAGGTGGGTATCCGGCTTTGTGCTACCGGAAGTGGTGGGACCTCAGGGAAAAGGGGCAGCCCCTCGTGCTGCCGGGAGCATGGCATTCGCTCTCCCCAGCTGCACAGAGCTGCATGGCACTCCAGCAGCAATTTAAAGGGCCCAGGGTTCTGGCTGCTGCCGCAGTAGCAACTGTGGCAATTAAGACCTCCAGGGCCCCTTTGAATCGACAAGCCCCGGGGTAACTGCCCCCTTTTGCATTTCCCCTGTCGATAGGCCTGGCATCCGTATACAATTAGGGAGGCACACAACTAGGTAAGAGGTGCCTTCCCACAGGAAAAGGAAAAACTAATCCTTAAAAGGACAAATAAACATGGGACATTACATCTACAGAGCAATTCAGCCAACATCTTTCCTTTGCAATCCATGGGAAAGTTCAAGTGGACCAGCTCTCTTCCAGGCACGTTTAAGGAGACTCCCAACAATTGTGCAGCATTTTTGCTGCAGCCTAGTGTCGAGCCATGTGGCCGACACTGCTAAAACCACATCCTGACACTTTTGTGATGTATCTGGAATTAGGAAAGCACAGTATCTTGATTCACAGGCAGACCAAACAACTTTGCTTTCAGACTGAGGTCTGAATCATTTAAAAATTAATGGGAGGTGGGTGTTCAAATCCCATAGATGGCTCTGAATAATCTCGGCCTACCTGCCCTTTACATATCCCCAAAGGAAAATGCCATCCATTAGCAATTGCATATGGCGTGTGTTTCAGAAAAGAACTAAGGGTAACAAAAAAAAAAAAAAAAAAACCTAGTTTGACCTCCATTTCGTCACTGGAAAAAGCAATTAAAAAACGAGGAAGAAAATTTAATCAGTTCATGGATCAATGGAAGCAAAATACAGCATAAACACTCCCTTTAGTTGGACTCCACCCCTATGGTTTTAAGGTTCAGCACAAATTAGATCACAAGGTAGGAAAAAGCAAAGGGAAGTTGGATAATCCTCACCTATTCCCAACATTGGCCCTACAGCAGTGGTAAAAATTTCCACTCATCTGGCACCAAGGAGAGGAGAGAGGGAACTAGCTCAATTTCTGCATTATTATTTCAGACAAATCATTCAAATTAATAATCTTTGAGAGTTTTTTTCTCTTGCAAGTTTCATTTAGTCAAACTGAGTAGGCAACAGCTAGCAAACATAAAAGGAAACCACCAACTTGTAAAGCCTCTTCTGAGGGGAATAAAAGATAAAAAACACAGGCTGGCTTATTTTCTATTATTCTATTGGATTCTGAGAAGTCAAAATTAATTATTCATGGCATGGGAGATAAGCCGTTAAGCCAGTCTCAAAAATGTTTGATGCTCAGACTGGCTAGTGCATCAAAATAGAGGATACATAATAAGAAACTAGCTTCCTGCCTCAGTTTCCTTGTTAACACCATCAAGCAGATGAAACTGAAGACTTGCCACCTCAGCTTGTACTTTTCCTGAATTCCTTCTTTGGCTCTTTCCAGCCAGCATACATCATATGATGCTTCAGGAAGAGTGATGATGACTAATTATATGTGCTTTCCTCACACTATGCAGCATGAGGCAGATGGTGAATCTGCGCCTGTAAGTTCACTCTCTAAAGGACAGGACAAATCATTGTGGAGGTCTGAAGACAAAGTATTTGCTTTTGCACAAAAGAATCCGTGCCAGTGTAGATGCTCTCTTGTGCAAGAAAGCTCTGATGGCCATTTTAGCCATTGGGCTTTCTTGAGCAAGAAATTGAAGTTACCTGTCTACACTGGCCTCTTGCGCAAGAACACTTGCACAAGAGAACTTATCCCTGAGCGGGAGTGTCAGAGTATTTGCGCAAAAAGCACTGATTTTGTACATTACAATGTCAGTGTTCTTGCGCAAATACTCACGGCTAGTGTAGACAGGCGGCTTTTGCGCAAAATCTTGACAATGTAGACACAGTGTTTTATGCACCTTTCTCCTCTAAACTTTGCTTTACTCACAAGCTTGAGGAAAAGGCTATTTCCAAACCAAAAAGATTCCTTCTAAAATCCAAATTACATTTGCAGTCCAAAGGGGGTTCTTTTTAATTATGAAACAGGTCCCTTTGTGCTTTCAAAACTGCAGCTTAAACTATCCAAAAAGGGGTCTATTTTTGACTTTGTAAAACAAAGGCAAAATGCTTGATTAAATTTGCATCATGAATATTTCACGTCTACATTTCGCCTTTTTTAACCTACCTAGTGACCAGGATCAGATTTTTAAAAATATGTAGGCACTTAAAGAAGCAGATAGGCCCCAAAGAAGCACCTACGGAGACTTTCACCAACACCTAGACTAGGGGCAGGCAACGAGCAGCCTGCAGGTCCAACGTGGCTCACCAGACGCTTTATTTATCTGAGCATCTGCACACACGGCTGCTTGCAGCTCCCATTGACTGAGGTTTGCCATTTCTGACCAATGGAAACTGTAGAAAGCGACCCAGCTGTACCTGTGGATGCTCAGGTAAATAAAGCATTTGGTGGGCTGCCAGGGGCTAACCCTGGTAAACCGCATCTAGCCCATGGGCCACTTATTGCCCGCCCTTGACCTAGGCATGTTTGCAGCTCCTAGTAAGCACTTGTA